GGGGGGTCTGGGGGTCTAAATTTTTTGAAACTAGACCCCCTCATATGCGTTTTCTGCGCGAGCAGGGAGGGGGTCCGGACCCCCTGGACCCCTCCCCCCCCCTGTACACGTCCTTGCAGTAATTGAAATGATTAGGTCTGCCCATGTCTCCAAATTATCATAATTAGCTGAACTTTCAAGTGGGGCACGGAGGAAGGAGTTTTTTTTTTTAATTTCAGGGGGGATATTTGTACAGGCCATCCCCCCCTCCTTCAAGAGCGGGGGGGATGCATCCCCCCCATCCCCCCGGGATTTACGCCCATGATCTATACTATACTATACTATAGCAGGCCCGTAGCCAGGGGGTGTTTGGGGAGTTCGCACGAATCCCCCCCCCTCGAGCAAAATAAATAAATAATAATTTTTGGTTGATATACCACTTCTCATGCTGTGGTGAAATCAGTTGGAAGATAATGTAAGTAATTCCGTAGGTATTGGGTAATCCAGTCCTCCTTTCATGCACTTTATTCTTCCCCAGGTGATTTTTGCTTTCCTACTTTTACCTAGAAGCTCAGTAGTAATAGTATCCAGAGTATGCCTACTTCACTTCGTTACATTTCTTTACAGAATAATGAATGTTGTGATTTCGTAATTTGAAACTGCTGGTCTTGAATTTAGATGACATATTGGACAATATTCTGATAGCAGAGACACATTAAAATCCGAGCCAATGTTAGATTTTGCCGCCATTGTTTGATTTTTATTTGATTTGAAAGTATTTGTACAATATTGGGACCGTGAGTTGTAAAAAGAGCTGTTATGAGGTACTCGATGTAACATACAAGTTGCGTCAATATTATTTGTGACTGTAGTTGGTATCTTGCCTTTTTCATAGAGTACCATAAATGAAGAGAACAAGGAATTTGTTGATCTATTATATTGAAAGAATTGCCGAGTATATATTTTTTTGTTACCATATTTTCTGTTGTAAAGTGAACTCTGATGACATGATTTGTGAAACACAAACATATCAATTATATATCTATAGTTTTTACCAGTTGGCAATCTGAATGTTACATCTATAATTAGCACAGTTTCTCTTTAGTTTAATTTTTTTGTAAATTAATAGGGAGTACATATATGAAACACCTTTATGGTTTTTAATTGTAGGCATGCATTGTATAATAGAATTGAACTTTGCCGGTAGGGGTGAACGGCGCCGTTCCGTGGCGTTCCGGGCCGCGCCGCGTGTGTGAGACGGGCCGTTAGCTAATGCACGCCGTTCATTACCGATCCACGAATTAAAAGGCCCGTTGCGCGGGCGGGTGGAGGAGGATCGAAGCGGCAGGGGCAAAAATTAAAACTACCATATCCAGTGAAATGGAGCGTAGAGGCAATGTAAGCGGATCGGCGAGGTCGTGCTGCGCATTTCTGGCCTCTGTGCATGGGCACATTTAGTGAGCAGATAGGAGTAAAATTAATGTCTGTAATATGATTCGTAAATAACTGCTTCGCTCTTAGACCTACTCGTTTGTTTTTATTTTTATTTAGTTAGTTATTTAGGTAAGTCATCTATGGATGATAGCATACTTTTACAATATATTTTTGAATTCATAAATTGGATAACTAACACCAAGGATATGTACAGCAGAAGGTATGAGCTGGCGCACTATTTAACATTGTGGTCCTTTGTTTTGCTATATTGTATCAATTTGTAGGCATATATGCCTATAATGCTAGTAGGCCTAATTCAATAACCGCTACACTTTTCGTGATTACTGCCGCGATATAGTAGCATGCCTGCGATGATTCTCCAAGTTCCCGCAAGTGATAACATCAGCTCGCACACAGTACAGATATAATGATCATCATGTTGTCGAAAGACCAGTTCGTTACTCTCCTAGACTTCTTTCGCGGGCGCGTACATCCGTGTAGACAATGTAGCGTGATACGCGTGATAATCCGCTCGGCATGAACCGCGGCCACGCTCACACGTTGAGATTACACAACGGGTCTGTGTGATCTCATATTATACAAAGGCAAGGCTACGTGACTATACGCATGCAGGGTAGATGCGGTAGTGTTAGATGATAGAGAACAGGCACAGGGCTGCTGCAGTAATAATATCAGGACTTTATTAGCTCAGCTGACGAAGTCAGATGCAGCTTGTAGAATCGCATGATTGTCGTCGTCGTCCGTCAACAGTTTGGCACAAATCTTAACCGCTCGACGTACGGTCCTTGATATTCGGACATCAGGGGGGGGGATCGCGAAAAGGACTCGGATGTCGAATTTGGGGTAAGGGTCAAAGGTCAAGATGTGTCAATGAGGGGGGAATATTCCCCTTAACTCAATGGTATAGGAGGA